GGGACAGGGGGAGGGCAGGGTGGCAGGGGGGACGGGGAAGGGCAGGGGGACATGGGGAGGACTCTGGCTTCCTCCATCATTTCATAGACCAGCTAACTCAGAAGTCCACATGTCCCATCACTTCTGTACCCAAGCTCCCATAAGTGTTCTTCATAAATAGTACCTAGTTATCAAAGCTTTGATGATTTTACAGATATTTAATGTCAGCTTCTGGATGAAATTAAGTTTGGTGGATTATCCTGTGATCAACGGCAAGTTTTCTCCCAAGACACCACCTTTTTCAATGTCTGTCAATGTGTTTTAGGTGCAAACTGTTAGCTGTTATTTTTGAAGGGGAAAAAAAAAAACAAGAAGAAAGTGATAAGGTGTGAAGCACAGGCTGATAAAAATCTATAAATAAGAATCTATAAATAAAATGGGGAGAAATAGCCGCAAGTCGCCAGAGTTTCAGAATCACATCACTATCGGCAGAGGAAGGGTGGCTCCTTTGCTGTTATTAAAACTGAACGGCTCCAACCATCCATACCCCTTCGACCCTTCAGGTTCTTATTCACCAGAAAATGTGTACTAACCACCCTTTCCTTTCTCCCAGGAAGCCAATCATATACCCTGATGTTGCTTGTGCAGGAAAGCACTTTCAGGTGGTGCTTTCCATTTCAGCAGGACCTTTCTTCTAGAGGCTCAGGAGAGTAACACCTGCCATTGGGAAGGGGCCCCGAAAGGAGCGTGCGGTGCTGCTGCTGCACTTACAGCTCTGTGCACCACGGCAATGCTCCCCGCGTTGATTCCAGCAGCCTGCACATCTGTCCCCAAACTTCACAGTATCCACTAAACCTTACGGTATCAGCCCAAGATTCCAAACAAGTACAGTTCTCCACGTTCACTGTGCAAAGCGCCACGGCTCGTCGGGACTGCACCCTACACTGTGTCATCAAACACGCTCCACACGGGATACACCCAGGAGGCTGAGCACAGTGAACCGTGCCCTCAGAAAGGCAGAGGGGCCCGTGGCCCCCATCAGCCTGGAGTGAGAGATTGGACCAAACCTTTTCTCATCTGAAAAAGGAAGAGCATGGCACTCGAGTCGCCTGTGAGAGGAGAGAGGTGCAAGGCCAGGGGGACGGCTGAGGGGGTTCACTAGTGTTGACTGTGGCTGCTCTAGCTGGTCAGTGGGGACATGGGTCTCATTATGTTATTCCCGACCCGTTCTGTATGCCGCAGGTCCCACCTATATTGGATTAATGACGTGCTCAGCAAGAACCCTCCTGTTCCTCGACCTGCAAAGGTCCCTGACAACTGCCTTGCTGCCACAGCAGGGCCCCTCCTTGCCCCGTCTCAGCTCCACGCCTCTCCTGAGGGATGAGATGTGACATTCTCTCCTCAGCACCCTAATTTTTAGGTTTAGGGAGCCTGAAAGAACAGCATCACCTGGATGGTATGTGACCCTCGCGTCTCAAACATGACCCCACGGAGGGGCCAGGAGTCCCCCTGCCCCTCACTCATGTGAAGTGTTTCCTTAGCCATTTAGAAACCTGGTGTAGACATTTACGCAGCCCATATCATTTAGATCCACCTTCAGAAGATGAGATTATTAACGCTAGGAATTTCTAAAGTCCTCCCAAGTGACATGTGAGGACTCACTCAGTGGGGGGTTCACTGAAGACTCACCTGTGCTGCATGTTTTGCCAGTTTTGTAACAAAATGTCAGCAAATTCCCTTGTTCAGCCTTGGGAAGGAACCTTGTAAGGCAAGAGGGGAGGCACACAGGGTGGTGGGTCGGGCTCTGAGCCAGCCCCTCCAGGGACACTCAGCGGGATGTGCTGACCAGAGGAAGCTGGCCACTGAGCTCTCACTGTCTCCTATGGTGTCCTTTATAGTCAGTTCAGTCCTCCAGGGGAGAAATGAACCCTCCAGAGACAAACTTGTTTCTAGTGCTTCTTCGCACACGTTCACTCACTTATTTGGGGTCTCATGTCTGAAGCGTGTTGACTCTGGAGCTGCTAAGTGACCCTGGCACACCCACAAGACACTCGGCGTGTCCAGAGGCACTGAGGCTTCCAATGTAATGAACCTGAGACTCAAACAGATTCCCAGAAAGAGATTTTACTGATCATTCTAGAACCGGCATATGGCATGGTAACAGAGTCATAAGGTCAGAAGAGAATTTAGACATAATTTAGCTCCAGCCGCCCTTAGCAGGACCCCGTCTGGACGCCGCCTAAGGCCACAGCGTGCTGCTCTAACACTTCCCGTCATGGGCACACACTATTTTGCAGGGCAGCTCAATTTCTGACAGAACATTAAGCAAACACTGTCCTTCTATTGAACATCATCCACAGCCCCATGATTCCCACCCCGTCACTGGTGGGAGAAAGTGGACAGAGCAGGTCCCGAGGAAGATCCCGCCCCGGGGTGCACTAGAGCTCCCCCAGATGGTAACAAATCACTACCAAGTTCACAGGAAACACACGATTTCATCAGCATTCTCCCAATTTCTGTAGATGTAAAAAAACCGCAAGCAAACACAAAAACGAACGTTGCTAATAAGTCACTAGTAAGTGATCTACAAGTGCTATTTTGAGAACGATGCTTCGGAATGAAAGAAGTGGGCCAGAGGGGAGAATCCTCTCATCTCCCCAGCTCTAAAATAAAGGCCTTACATTCAGCCCACATTTCCATCCGCAGCCATTTCAGGTACGCTGACAGACTGGTGGCCCACCACAGCCACTGAAAATTTTTTAAAGAGTCAATACAGAAAAGAGTGGCTTAAAATGACATTTACCATTTCTTACCTTAACGTCCTATGGTATCAAGGAAAACCAGTCTACTATCTGAACTAAAGCACACACTAAAAGGAATTATATTTCCTTTTTCATTATTGACACACTTGACAAGAACCATGAAAACATGCTCTACACAATTAGGCTTAGTTCATCCTCACACAGATGTCCTTGACAGGAGAAACGTCACTAACTTGGAATCTCAACACCAAGGCTGGTCCACGTGGCACTCACCTGCATGAGCTCGTGGCTTTGCAGAAGGTCGTGTTCCAGCATCTCCTGGGTAAGGCGCCCCATGGTGCTATAGAATTCATCTGCAGTTTCACAGCATTCTATCTGCCTGGATGAAGAACAGAGAGAGAGACCGTTTAGGGCACCTGTGCTAGTGAAGAGGTGTGCACACCAGGTATAAGATGTGCCACCAAATCAATCAAGTTATCAATCAACAAAAAATCAAAATCCTAAGACAAGGCTTGGCACCCGTAGCTCAGTGGTTAGGGTGCTGGCCACATTGGGGCTAGTGGATTCGAACCCAGCCTGGGCCAGATAAACAACAGTGACAACTACAATGACAACCAAAACAGCTGGGCGTTGTGGCAGGTCCCTGTAGTCTCAGCTACTTGGGAGGTTGAGAATCGCTTAAGCCCAAGAGTTTGTGGTTACTGTGAGCTGTGACACCACAGCACTCTACCGAGGGTAACACAATGAAACTCTGTCTCAAAAAAAAAAAAAAAAAAAATCGGGTGGCGCCTGTGGCTCAAAAGAGTAGGGCGCTGGCCCCATGTGCCGGAGGTGATGGGTTCAAACCCAGCCCCGGCCAAAAAAACCACAAAGAAAAAAAAAAATATCCTGAGACAGGCAGGGCAGCCCTACTTATGTGGAGAAAAGATAAATACAGACATCTCAAAGGCAGTGTGCCGTTACCCAAAGGCCAAGGAGATAGCTGATGCTTAATGAGATGCACAAGAATGATTTTTTAAATCCCTGAGTTGGATCTTTCTTTGCAAAAATGTTAAAAAAGCTGAAGTCTCCCAGGAAACGACTTATAAATAAAAAGGCTAGTTAAAAGGTATTTGAAACCAAATACTGGCAGTGATTATCAGCTGTCTCACATGTTGTCTTTGGGAACCACTCAAGTCACTTACAGTTCTGGGAAAGAGATTTTAAAACTCCTGCTTAACTGTAACAGTTTCATCCTAATGCTTCTTCTATTACCCAAAATGTGCAATTTTAATGTAACAGTCACAATATATCAGAGATGACTGAAAATGCCCTTTCAACCCTAGTAAAGAGTGTAAGTACAGTCTATTTGGTGATGCATCTTGGCAGTAACAGATGACAACATAAAGTTTGTTTTTTATTTTTTAGGAGACAGGGTCTCTGTCACCCAGGATGGAGTGCAGTGGCACAGTCATAGCTCATAGCAGCCTCAAATTCCTGGGCTCAAGTGATCCTCCTACCTCACCTTCTTGAGTAGCTGGGATTGTAGGTGTGTGCCACTACACCTGGCTAATTTTATTTTTTGTAGAGATGGGGGTCTTGCTATGTCGCCCAGGCTGGTCTCAAACTCCTGCCCTCAAGTGATCCTCCTGCCTCAGCCTCCCAAAGTGCTAGGATTATAAGTGTGAGCCACTGCAACCAGCCAAATTAACTCTGATGAAAGGAGAGAAGTTCCATGTGTTTTAATATTGACTGTATCAAGTACCATGAAGACAGTTTTACATGTCATCTCAATTTTAACACAGCCCTGAAAGACAGAACAAAATAAAGATTGTGATCTCAGCCAACAAATCTATCCACTTCTCTCCAGATCTTCCAGTTTCTCTTAGTTACATCTAAGTCCCCCTCCCTCTTCTGAGTCAGTGCACAGAGAGATGTGACAAAGGGAGAGAGCCAGGACAGGAGCACCGGGGAGGAGGGGGAGACACCACAGGCCCGAGGATTCCAACTGCTGAGACAAAGCAGCTGAGATTTCAGGAGGCTAAAACAACTGGAAACGTTCACAACGTTCTCTTTTCCTCACATTTAAGTATCAATGCTTTACATATCAGATCACAAAAATCACATAAGGTCCCCGACACAGCGGAGCAGAACGGGGAAACGACTTACTCTCCCAGCTTTGCCCAGATGGCCAGGGACACTCTCAGGATGATTTCTGAACCTTCAAAGAAGACGGAATCCCAGATCTTTAAAACTGTGTGATTAGGGAGGCACGTGGCAAAGAGCGTCAGAAACCACTGCATGGTGAAGACATTGGTGAGTGGGGGCTCATATCCACCTGGAACAAAGCAAACCCACTGAGTTCCGACTCACAGGACACACAAACGTCATCCGAGCCTGCGCACATGTTCATCTTCGTATCTTTAGGTTCCTCCTGGTTCTCCTTTCACACTTCTGGACAAACACAAAAGTGTTTAACAAACGCCTCAATCACAGGGGCTTCATGCAGTCTCCACCTTACTTTGGATGTATCAATCAATCACACAGGCTTCACGCAGTCCCCACCGTACTTCAGACGTCTCAATCACACAGACTTCACGCAGTCTCCATCTTACTTTGGACGTATCAATCAATCAGATGGGCTTCACGCAGTCCCCATAGTACTTCAGACGTCTCAATCACATGGGCTTCACGCAGTCTCCATCTTACTTTGGACGTCTCAATCACACAAACTTCACGTAATCTCCACCACACTTCAGACATCTCAATCACATGGGCTTCACGTAGTCCCCACCGCACTTCAGACGTCTCAATCACACAAACTTCACGTAATCTCCACCATACTTCAGACATCTCCATCACACGGGCTTCATGCAGTTCCCACCGCACTTCAGATGTCTCAATCACACGGGCTTCACACAGTTCCCACCACACTTCAGACGTCTCACCCTAAAACTTACTTTGGCTCTACCTACTGTGGGGTTCTGAAGATTAGGGAGCAAGTTCTCCTCACCAAAATCAGAATAAAAACGGGAAAAAAAATTAGCCTCTCAAAAGCAAAGCCATCTAATTTTCAAACTTTTATAAATCCCACTTTTATTCAAATGCTGCTGATAAGGATAAAATTGCTTCTTATAAACTCGTCTTAAATTATTCATTGTTCTCAGGCCACAGTGGAATTAAATGAGAAATCACAAATGTAAAGATAGCTGGAAACTCCCAAAATATTTAGAGATTAAACATTAAATTTAAAAAATATTTTGAACTAAATTAACTATGGCTTTAAAGATCTGGCATGTAGCCCATTTTGAAATTTTTGAACTAAAAACACAGCACTCCCTCCCACTTCCTGTGATAAGTATGCATTTTAATGAAATATAAGAACTTAGAGTCTTTTTTCATGCATTTTCTTCCTCCTTACTATAAACAAAGGGAGTGTCTCTGTTCAGAGACCAGAATCTGAAGTTACTCCTCACAGCCAAGTGCAAGCTCATGTAAAACCAAGTAGGCCAGTGAAGTGTGTCTCACTCTGGACAAGTGAGGCCGCCTACCTGAAAGCATAACACCCACACAGGTGCAGGTTACACTGCACACACTAATTACCGAGATTATTCAAATGGCTTAGAAGTAAAGGCTTAGAGACACTCGGGGTGTCACTAAAATTTCCAGTGTATTTTATTTTTTAAATTTCAAAATATTACAGGAGTACAAATGATTTGTTTACACAAATTGCTTTTGTGTGGTTTGAATCAACATTATAAGTGAGCCATCACTGGACAGTGTGCACGGCACCCATTAGGTGTCAATTCACCCCTCCCCTCCTGTCCCCTCCCAGACAGTGTGCACTGTACCCACTAGTGTGAATTCACCCCTCCCCTCCCGTCCCCTCCCAGACAGTG